AGGAGAGTATATTTGTTATTTTACAACTTTTAATTGGGAAAATAGATGAAAATGATGGTTTATGTAATATAAGGGTGAAAATGTAAAAAATGAAAGGTAGGGACTATTTGCACAATAATATGGAAAGTTATGAACTTTTTGTGCTAATTACCCTTTAATAATTTATTTGGACTCATTTGTATTTTTTAAAAAGTTTGGGAGTATAATTACAATTTATTTTTTAATTTTTCTTTGTTTTATTTAGGAGGGTCTATTTTGTCATTTTATATTTTTTTTTCTATTGAGAAAATGACATTTTTCGCAATGAAATGTGAAAATAGAGCTGAAAATGTCAAAAAATGAAAAGTAATGACGTTTTGCATAATAACACGGAAAGGTAGGGATGTTTTGTGCTAATTAAAATTGAAAAAACTCAAATCTTGTCTTGATATCTGACCTTCACCAGGGCCAACGCCGTTGGAGCTGAGCCAAACTCCGAAGTACCACTAGTTACCACATCTGAGATATCTCAGACACAAATAAGCTCAGCAAAATCTTCGGGTTCAATTGTAATCAAACAAACAGCTTCAACAAGTAACTTGCTTAGGCAATTTTGTTCATTGGAGTTAAATCATGATAAATATCTATTGTGGAAAAACCTTGTTCTACCAGTCATAATGGGCCTCTAACTTAAGCATTAGAACTAAGATATGCTCACTTGAATTTGTTATCGAAACAAATTGATGGTGTTACTATGAAGAGATTAAATCTTGGCTATGAAGAGTGATTTGCCAAGACCACATGATTCTTGGTTATTGTATCTGAGTTTATAAGATGCAAAAACTTTAAGAATAGCTTGCTTCTTTTTGAAAATTTGTTTGTGTTCTTTCTAAGTCCAATGTAATGTATTACCAAAGAATGATATCATCTAAAATCAATGGTGCTAGAGTACGAGTTTGTGTGAAATTATGTGATATATTCAATTAAAGGTGAAATTATTTTATTTATTATGTTGTACGTTTCATTTAATGACATTTGGTGCCACATAAATCGATGTTATAACATTAGTAGTGTTGAGTAGAATTACTCATTACAAAAAGGAGGTTCAAAATCCCCTTCGCCTGGTGCTAGAAGAAGGTGGTGGTAACCATATGAGAAGGGGAGTGGAGATGGGCTGGAGGGGATGGAGGAGGAGGAGGATGAAGTTGATGAATTTTGTTAATATGTTACTTATTGTTTTAAGTGGGATCTATTTATACTTTTTAGAAAGAGTTGTGACTCTGGTTGCAATTATTATTTTATTTTTTGTTTCTTTATTTTGTTTTTTAAGGATGATGATAAAATTGTCATTTTAGAAGGGTCTAATGGAGCAAATGGACTGAAGAGTTGTGTACAACATTTAAAGGGTATAGGCTCCAAATGTTAAAATCAAAACTGTAGGGACTGTTTATACATAATGACAACTAGTCCCAATTATAAAAAAATTAAGAGAAAATAAGCAATCATGCCACCTCTATAATCTATAATATATTAAAATATCACAACAAGGATGGGGATGCTCGGATCAATTGTAAGCTTGATAGAGTACTTGTGAATCAAGAGTGGTACCAATCTTTTCAGAACTCTAATCCTACTTTCCAAGCACAAGGCATCTCGAGAATCATTTTTTGGACGATTTAACTCTCCTACGATTCAAGTATTTCAATAATACTTTACTTTTCATTTTTCGATATGTAATAAATACTACAATGTTATTTTCATTTATGAAATTTGTATTATTAATTCCCAATTAACTAGTATTCACATTAATCTAGATTCAATGAATTTTCACTTAATGAATTTTGAATTGCATGAATCTAGAGTTATTATAAATAAATTTATTCATATTCATGTATATGAAAATTTTAATGGGTATTTAAATTAATGTCTTAAAAATTAATTTTTATTTATCAAATGTAATGTAAAAAGATTACTCATTTATAGTATTTCATCACTACAAAAAATTTGAATCATAGAAATTGAGTTTTGGGAGTGCAATTTACTTCTCTTAAATTTCTATTTTAAATTTTATTTTCTTAAATTCGTCCAAGACTTATCAAATCCTCCAACAAATTGATATCAAATATTACTTTTACATTACTTGTAAAGTATTTTAGGATAAAGTGCAATGCACATTCAACTTTGACTAGTGTACAAAAATGATTGAGTAATAATATTTAATCCTACTGAAGTTATAACCTCAATCTAACAACTAACTATTAGATTTATAAGTTAGATTGTGGTTATAACTTCAATGAGACTAAATAACATTATTCAAAATGGTTGATAATTTTTTTTTTTTTTGACAAATTACCAACAGGCAAAATTTCATTAGATGGTGGTAAAAAAAAATAATAATAATAATAAAAAAATTAAATTAGCCAATACAATATTGCTACCTCATCATTTGTAAAGCTTTTTGAACATCAATTTTGCTTGGTATACATTTGTGGTTGATAATTTTTTTAATAGTGTAATGTGGCACACAATTTTGCAATTAATTTTAATAGTACTTAAAACAATCAATGATCTCAATTTGTGTAATAAGCACAAAACGTCTTTACCTTTCAATGTTATCATGCAGAACGTCTCTCTCTTTTATTTTTGGCACTTTTACTCCTATCTTTACCTTTTATAGCAGAAATTATCATTTTCATTCAATCACTTCGTGTCTTGGTTTTGTTTTGCCACGATGATTAATGATTGTGTTGTACTTGCAATTTGGAAAAAAGTTGAGAATTATTGTTTAAATCGTGGTTTTAAGGAACGTTTTGGTTCAAAATGGATGAAATTTTATGAGCGACGTTGAATTGATAGTAATAGAAATTTGATGAGTTTTTTTTTTTTTTGTGTCTTGATTTTGTTTTGCCGTGATGATTAATGATTGTGTTGTACTTGCATTTTGGAAAAGTCGAGAATTATTGTTTAAATCGTGGTTTTAAGGAACATATTGGTTCAAAATGGATGAAATTTTATGAGCGACGTTGAATTGATAGTAATAGAAATTTGACGAGTTTTTTTGCGTGGCGTTGAAGAGTGGATGTTAAAAAATGAACTCTTGAAATTCCCAAATTGAAGAAAATCAAATCTTGTCTTCATATCATAGCTTCACCAAGGCCAACACCATTGGAGTTGAGCCAAACTCTGAAGTACCACTAGTTATTGCATCTGAGACATCTCCTACACAAATAAGCTCAACAAAATCTTCGGGTTCAATTGCAATCAAACTAATCGCTTCAACAAGTAACTTGCTTAGGCAATTTTGTTCATTGAAGTTAAATCATGATAAATATCTGTTGTGGAAAAACCTTGTTCTAATGGCCTCTGACTTGAGCGTTAGAACTGAGACTTGCCCACTTGAATTTTTTATCGTAACAAATTGATGGTGTTTCTATGAAGAGATTGAATCTTGACTATGAAGATTGTTTTGCCAAGACCACATGCTTCTTGGTTATTACATCTGAGTTTATAAGATGCAAAGACTCCAAGAGCTTCTTTTTGACAATTTCTTTGTGTTCACTCAACTCCAATGTGATGTATTATAAAAGAATGATGTCATCTAGTATCAGTTGGGCTAGGGTACTAGTTTGTGCGACATTAAGTGATATATTCAATTAAAGATAAATTTATGTTATTTATTTACATGTACCTTTCATTTAATAACATTTAGTGCTACCTATGTCGATTTTATAACACTAGCAGTTTTAAATAGAATTACTCATTACAAACATGAGTTTCATAAGGTTCAAAATCCCCTTTGCCTTGTGTTAGCAGAAGGTGGTGGTAACTGTATGAAAAGGGGAATGGAGGCGGGTGGAGGTGGTGAAAGAGGAGGAGGATGGAGTTGGTGAGTTTGTTGAAATTTGTTTTAAGTGGAATTTATTTATACTTTTTAGAAAGAGTTGTGACTCTGATTGCAATTATTTTTTATTTTTCGTTTCTTTATTTTGTTTTTGAAGGATGATGATAAAATTGTCATTTTAGAAGGATTGAATGGAACAAATGGAGTGAAGAGTTGTGTACAAGAAATGGAGTGAAGAGTTGTGTACAACATTTTAAGGATACAGGCTCCAAATGTTAAAATCAAAACTAAAGGGACTATTTGTACATAATAAAAACAACTGGTCCCAATTATCAAAAAATTAAGAGAAAATAAACAATCATACTACATGTACAAAGATAATTGAGTAATGCTATTTAGTTCCATTTCTAGATTGGAGTTATAACTCCAATAAAACTAAATAACATTATTCAAATTGGTAGATGATTTTTTGACAGATTATTAGCTGGGCAAGATTTCATTAAATGTTGGTAAAAAAAAATAAAAAAAATAAGACCAGCCAATACAATATTGCTATCTCATCATTTGTAAAGCCTTTTGTACATTAATTTTGCTTGGTATACATTTGTGATTGACAATTTTTTTTTTTTAAATATTGTGTGATGTGGCAAACAATTTTGCAATAAATTTTAGTAGTACCTAAAATGATCAATTATCTCAATTTTTACACCTCACACAATGTCAATCATGATATACAAGAAATATTTGTATAAAATGATTGCACCATCCTACGTGGTGCGGCAATTAAATGAGGAGCTATCACTTCATCGAATTGGTTAACCTTACCTCATGAGATGGAGAAAAACTTTGGTGTCGCACCACAAATGGAGAGTCACTACCTTTTCGAGTAGACCACCCTTACCTAATAAAATAAGGTCATCTCGAGATTTGATTTTTTTTCTCTTTTCACTTTAATTCATGATGTGACCTCACCACATTAAAGTGAAGGTGGGCCACCGACGAGTTGGTGACTTCTCATTTGACGATCACACCATGTAAGACAATTTTATTAAAATTTTTCTTCATGAGATGAGGTCATTTTGAAATTTGAAGTCCGACCGTCACAACACGTGGGACGGTACTATCATCCTACCCAAATATAAATACACAAAGTAAAATAATTCTTTGTCCATTTAATTCGATGACAAGACCCTTCTTCAAACTCTAACGATTGTGGGCAACGCGTAGAAAACTAGCTTCTCATGATCTCATCCGTCAACAATGGCTGAAAATCCCCTGCAGCATCTCTTCCAAGCGTTTGGCAAAGTCTCAGAGTGTGTTCAAACTCATCTTTCCCATTTCATTCTCCGCCCCAATCAACCTTCAACTTTGCTCAACAAAAATGACCACTCTTCACTGTACATCTCCCAAAACTCGACCACGGATTCTCATCTTCTCCAACCTGCTGAAAATCTCAAAAAGGTAGTCCCTTTTTACTGTTTTCGTCAAAAGTTAGTTATCTTCTTTAATGTAAATAGGGCTTAGTTGCTTTTCTTTGGTAGTACAGTGGGCTACTGCTTGCACAATAACTGTTTGATGAAAGTCCCGATTCCGAATGCATAGCCTTCACGTGAGTCTTGAACTGATTGCATTTTACTGCGCTTCCTTCTTCTTCTGATTTACCGAATGATTTCTGTATGTTTGCTCGAAATTAGCTTAAAATTACCATGAAGAAATATGAAATACACCTTTTTGTAAACTTCAACGTAGAATTTTGTCATGGTTCCCATTGGGTGTATGGGCACCTGAATCCCACATCGGAAGTATGGGCTTTCTTTGTGTGGTTTATATTGGCTTGGTTCTCCAACCTCGATGGCTAGCTTTTGGAGTCTGGTTCTTCCAAGTTCTATGACAATGGTATCAGAGTAGGCATCATGTCTTCCGGTCTCGGTTACCAATTAGGGTGTACGGGCACCTGCTCGACGTGGTCGCCGAGTCGGAGGCGTGGTGATTTGCCATGGTTCCCATTGGAGTGTATGGGCACCTGAATCCCACATCGGAAGTATGAGCTTCTTTTGTGCGGTTTATATAGGTTTGGGTTCTTTAACTTCAATACTAACTTTTGGGGTCTGACTCTTCCAAGTTTTATGACTAATTTCTAATTCCTTTCTAGAAAATTAAATATTTCTAAAGCCAGATATTTAACACATGAATTCGAGCCTGATTTGATTGCTGAATTATGTAATTCTTCTTCAAAAAATCCCATCTAGTAATTTTGTGGCTACTATCACAGTTATGTAATGAGGATTTCCTTTGCCTGTGTATTCATTATTCATGCTAGTTAATGTTAAACTGAAGACAGATGCACCTTAATTAATTTATGGGGACACAGATTTTAGGGATCTACTTGTTGCTTATTCTTCAGGGAAAATCTTCTGGTCCAGTGACTAAAGAAGAACTTGGAAGAGCCACCTGGACTTTTCTTCACACTCTTGCTGCTCAGGTCTGGTTTTATTCATTTCTCCCATGGATTTTCCAGTTCTTTTATTTTTGACGATCATGGTACTTCTTAATAATTTGAGCTAAACATATACAGTCAACTTTCTAATACCTTACTGTTTCATTTTTTAATACATTGCACGGATTTTATTTTATTTATTATTATTATTTTTATTTTTTTGGGTGTGCGATGCAGTTATTAGCCTGCTGATTTTCCTAGTTCTTTTCTCTCAGTATCCAGATAAGCCAACTAGACAGCAAAAGAAGGATGTAAAAGCGCTGGTATGGTTATTTTTTACCGTCTTGGTGTCTCTCTGAGTGTTTCTGTTCAAACTAATGCCTATTTTCCTTGACAGTATACATCATGTCTTATCTAGAGTTCTTAATCAATTGGGAAGTAAAGCTACGATGCATGTTTTGTTTTGGATTTAAAATCTAAATGATTACTTACATGTACTGTCTTTCACCGACCTTAGGATAGGTGTTCTGTTATTGCACTGACTAAACCCAACTATAGCAAGAAAGCTTGGTCAAGAAACTGCTTCCATTGTCGCCTAATCTTGTATTTGAGGGCCATTTTTTCATTTTATTAGGGATACTTATTTTTAAGTGTTTGTTCCTATTTGACTTATTTATGTGCCACGAAATGCATACTTCTATTGTTTTCTACTTGGACTTGATCAGTCTACGTAAGAGTTTTGTGTCAATGCCAAAGAAAAATATCTCATTTTGAGATTGCCACTGGAACAGAATTTAGGTGATGAGGAAATCATTCATTAATCAGATGAAATACCATCTAACTATTAGAGGAAATTAGGCAAATTAGTTTATTTTATTACCTTGTATAGTGCACAAAATCAGGGATTAATTCCCTTGTATAATTTCCATATATAACCATGTACTATTCTATAAATTAAAGGCAATACAAAGGAGAAATTATCAAGCAAAATTGGCATGGTATCAGAGCCCTAAAATTCTTTTCTCGTACCTGTTGTTGTCTTCGTGTTTCCGAAAATTCCTGTCTGTTTGTGGTTGGCGGCTGAATCACAGTGGTCGGCGTGGTTGGTGGGCATAGTCGGACCATTGTTCATCAGAGTTGAAGTCGTCTGTGGCCGCATCTCGTCTCTATCGCGGTGTCGAAGTCACTCATAGTAACGTTGCAGATTGTTAGTACCATCTGAGGATTTGGATCTGCCGTTTTTCAGCATCTTCAAGGCTGGTTCTGGTCGTCAAAGGTTGTTCAGGTGTCGTCAGTAATTACTGGTCACACTTCCAACATTGTCGAGCTCGTGGGCGATTTGGGCTTTACATGAGTTTATTTGGTCGCCAATCTTCCTTCTCTGTTGTTGGGCTAAACTTAAGTGGATAGTTGTTTCTTGGGCTTGGATTATTTGGACTTAAGTTGCTGGTAGAATCTGATTTTTATTTGGGCTTGAGCTACGGGTTTAGTTTGATAAATTTTTATTGAAATTCATCATGTCATCTGAAAATGGTGATTATGTCTGCATTCGCTTTACTGGAAAGAATTATTCTTCATGGGCTTTTAATTTTCAGTTATTGGTTGAGGGTAAAGGTGATTTTTGGGGACATATTGATGGGAGTCTCCCACCTCTAGATCAAGAGAAGGACAAGGAGAAATACCTTGCTTGGAAAACGAAAGATTCTCGAATTATGGCTTGGATCATCGAATCGGTTGATGCTTAGATTGTTCTTAATCTCAGACCTTATAAGTCAGCCCGTGCTATGTGGGACCATTTGAAGAAAATCTACACTAAAAAAAATAATGCTTGAAGACTTCAACTGGAGCTTGAACTAGCAAATTTCTCTCAAGATTCGCGCTCCATTGAAGAATCTTACTTTGAGTTTCTAATCTTTGGACTGAATACACAGATATTATCTATGCATCCATTTCATCCGACAGTTTGGAGGCTGTCTAGGCTGTACATGAAGTTACTAAGAGGGATCAATTTCTCATGAAATTGCGAGCTGAATTTGAACCCATCAAATCCAGTCTTATGAATCGTGAATCTATTTCAACGTTGGATGGCTGTTTGGGTGAATTGCTGAGAGAGGAGCAGCGTCTTATCACTCGTACCGCTGTAAAACAACAGCATAATCAAGTAACACCGGTTTCTGTTGCTTAAGTGGCTCAAGGAAAAGTCAAGCATCGGAATAGGTCTAGTGTGCAGTGTTACATTTGCAAGGAGTTTGGTTACATGGCTCTTTTATGTCCCCGAAAGGTTTGCAGTTATTGCAAAAAACGTGGACATGTCATTGAGGAATGTCCGATTCATCCTCCACGCAAGACGGGGGAAATTATATTGCTGCTGCCTCGTTCGCCTCCAGTTCTGCACTGCCACCTACACATGCTCAAGTTCTAACCTCTCTCAGCCCTATCCAAAACTCCATTTCTCCTGAGATGATCCAGCAAATGGTTATTTCTGCATTGTCTGCCTTGGGTGTCTCAAGTGATTCTTCAATTCTCCCCTCTTCTTGGTTATTAGATTCGGGTGCTTCTAATCATATGACTTCTAATCCTTGGTTGCTTAGTAATCTTAGACCATATACTGAAAATCTCAATGTACACATTGTCGATGGTAACACGTTTCCTATCTCAACCATAGGAGATATATCCCCAGACTCGTCGAATGTTTTAGTCTTTCTTAGTTTATCAACTAATCTTATATCTGTTGGTCAACTTGTTGATAACAATTATACTGTGTCTTTTTCTTCTTTTGGTTATCATGTGCAGGATCAGGTGTCCGGGAGGATGATTATGAGGGGGCCTAAAGAGGAACGTCTCTTCCCTATTTCATCGAAGCTGACTTCATCTTTTCCTTTAGTTTGTAATTCTGCTACTTTTAATGTTGTTGATTGGCATAAAAAATTAGGTCATCCCAACTCTAATGTGTTACAACACTTGTCAAATTCTGCTTAGGTTTCATCTAATTTCTATTGATTGTGCTTCATATAAGCTTGCTAAAAGTAAGACTTTATCATTCCCGTCTCATGATTCTCATGCTTCGCGTATTTTAGAAATTGTTCATTGTGATGTATGGGGTCTTACACTTGTAGTGTCTCATGCTTATTATAAATACTTTGTTACATTTATCGATGACTATAGTTGCTTTACATGGGTTTCTTTTCTCCGAGCAAAAAGTGAGGTTTTCTTTGCCTTTCAGGCCTTCCTTCCTTTTGTTGACAACCAATTTTCCTCCTCAATCAAAGTCTTAAGATCTGGTTCGGGAGGTGAATACATGTCTAATGAGTTTCAATTGTTCTTACAAACAAAAGGTATTATTTCTCTACGATCTTGCCCCTCTATCTCTCAGCAAAATGGGATAGCAGTACGCAAGAACCGTCACCTTCTTGACATGGTTCGAGCTCTTTTGATTGAGTCTTCCGTTCCTTCTCATTTCTGGTGTGAAGCCTTGTCTACTGCTGTACATCTTATAAATCGGTTGTCTTCTCCCGCTCTCAATAACGTCTCCCCGTTTTATAAGCTCTTTGGTCAACATCCTACATATTCTCATCTAGGACCTTTTGGATGTGTGTGTTTTGATCATTTACAACCACATGAAAGAACAAAACTCACACCACAATCTGTTAAGTGTGCTTTTCTGGGATATGGTGGGACACAAAAATGATATGTCTGTTATGATCCTAAGACACAACGTATTAGGATTTCTCGCAATGTCGTTTTCTTTGAAAAATAATCTTTCTTCATCTCAGAAACTGTTGTCCCTACTCATGTGTTCTCTATCTTGCCTGAGTTTCATACAGAATTCTCTCAATACAAGCCTGGTCTTGTGTATACTTGTAGGCCTGCCGCTCCGATCACTGTTCTTGATCCTTCTTGTCAGACGACTGTCCCTCCAGGCCTCCCTGATCCTCCAACTACGATATCAGATCCTTCATCAAATGACTGCCTCCTGTCACTCTTCTCGTGTTACTCGTCCACCAGATAGGTATGGTTTTCCCTCCCATAGGTCTATATCTGCTACTCTTAACTCGATTGCCATTCCTTTCTTATATAGACCGGCTATGGAACAAGAGTGTTGGCAACAGGCAATGAATGCAGAACTTGAGGCCCTTGAGGCCAACCAAACTTGGGATATAGTGCCATGTTTAGAGACTGTGAAACTATTGGGAGTAAATGGGTATACTCAGTGAAACTTCGTTCTGATGGTTCTCTTGAGCGCTATAAAGCTCGGTTGGTTGCCTTAGGTAATCGTTAGGAGTATGGGATCGACTATTATGAGACTTTTGCTCCCGTGGCTAAAATGACCATCGTTCGCCTCTTGTTATCGCTTGCCGCTACTCAGTTTTGGCCTTTATATCAAATGGATGTAAAGAATGCATTCTTACATAGGAATCTTCAAGAAGATATTTATATGAAACTTCCATCTGGTATGTCGCTCCCTTTAGCTGACTCTGTATGTAAACTCAAACGCTCTCCGTATGGTCTTGAACAAGCTTCTCGAGCATGGTTTGACAAGTTTCGCCGCACTCTTCTGAATTCAGTATGATGCTTCTCTTTTCTTGCACAAAAACCCTGCCGGCATCGTCTTGTTGTTAGTTTATGTGGATGATATTATTATCTCTGAATCAGATTACACTCTCATTCAAAAACTTCAACAACATCTTCACTCAGTTTTTAATATGAAGGATCTTGGTCATCTCACTTATTTTCTTGACTTAGAAGTTCATACAACAAAGCATGGTATCTTCTTAAATCAACATAAGTATACTCAGGACTTGATCAAGTTAGCTGATTTATCTGATGCCTCCTCAGTTGATACTCCATTGGAACTTAACGTTAAGTATTGAAAAGACGAAGATGATATTATTCCAGACCCTACTCTGTATTAAAAGATGGTAGGTAGTCTCATTTATCTTTCTATCACACATCCAAACATTTCATTCGTAGTTCACACTGTTAGCAAATTTATGAACACCCCTCTTCATCATCACTTGGTCGCTATTCGTCGCATTGTTCGTTATCTTATTGGGACTACTCGTCGTGGTCTGTTCTTTCCTCATGGGACGCCTCTTTAGCTCACCGCTTAAAGTGATGCTGATTGAGCTAGTTGTCCTGATTCTCATCTATCTACTACTGGGTGGTGTATCTTTCTGGGCAATGGTCTCATCTCTTGGAAATGTAAGAAGCAAGACTGTCTCTAAGTCCTCCACTGAGGTTGAATATCGCGCTATGTCCGCTGCATGTTCTGAGATTGTGTGGTATTCTTGCAGAACTTAGTATTTCACAATCACATCCTACGCCCCTCCATGGTGACAATACTAGTGTTATTCAGATTGCGGCTAATCTTGTGTATCATGAACGCACCGAACATATTGAAGTTGACTATCATTACATTCGAGATGCCTATGAGTCTAAACTCATTGATCTTCCTCCTGTTTCCGCTACTTAGCAGATTGCAGATATTTTCACTAAATCTCTTACTCGCCTCCGTCATAATTTTCCAGTGAGCAAATTGATGCTTGTGGACTTACCATCATCATTTTAAAGGGGGGGGGGGGTTAGAGGAAATTAGGCAAATTAGTTTATTTTATTACCTTGTATAGCGCACAAAATCAGGGATTAATTCCCTTGTATAATTTCCATATATAATCATGTACTATTCTATAAATTAAAGGCAATACAAAGGAGAAATTATCGAGCAAAATTGGCACTAACAGCTTTGCAATTGTTATGCAGATGGCAATATTATCTCGAATGTACCCGTGTAAGGAATGTGCAGATCACTTCAAAGAAGTTCTCAGGTATATACTCTTTTCTTTAAAAGCACTATCCTCTTCCTCCTTCAAGAACATTTCATTTTCAAAATTAGGATTGAAACTTTTTTTGAGATTTTAATAGTTATCCCTTTTAAATACATAGGCTATGTACCATTTCTGGAGCTTGCTTTCTGCTATCTATAGTGATCATTAAACAATTTTTTTCAACTTAACTAATACTTACAACTCTACACAAGATTTACAGGCACGTGTTAATGACAACTGACAATAGTGATAACACTTGGATGTTTTTGTGATGATCTGTTTATCCTAAAGATATCTCTCTCTTCCCCGCCCCATTCTTCCAAAAATGATAAGGAAACTCGCCTACAGGAGCAGATCCTGGGTGCTTAAGATACTCCTACCTTAGGCACCGGATGACTCTGGAAATTTTAACCTGGCTAGATGGCACTCCCATTGGCCCACTTGGATCCTCTCATAAGGCATATCCTTACAGCTGCCATAAACTGTAAAGTTTTAACTTTATATGAAACCTAGCTATAGAATCTCTGTCTGCCATAGAAGTTCCTGTACATGGACAAGGCATGCAGTCTCACTTTTCATGTTGCTAAATGATTTCCTTCAATTTCTAGCACACTTTATGATATAGCTCTTTATATTTTTCAAAACATTTGGGTGGTTGATACAACTTGTCGGTAGCATTACTATTTTATAGAGATACAAGTCCTGAGATTTTTTGTCAATCTTAACCCTTTAAGATGGTCTTATGCTTAGCTTGGTGAAGAAGAAGAACTAAGTGGAGTCAATTTATTTTCACATGACTACCAAATGTCTATCGTAATACTCCAAGAAATGAACATTTATATACTTTTTAATTTGTTCACAGAGCGAATCCTGTACAGGCTGGATCTCATGAAGAATTTTCACAATGGTTATGTCACGCACACAATGTAGTTAACCGAAGGTAACTAATGTATTATGAGCTCCACAGATTCTTTCACTCCCATATTGCTTCTTTTTATTTAATTGAACTGTAAAGATGCTTGCTTCATATAAATAAAGATGTATAATCACTCTTGCATTCGGTTTATCACTTTAGTCTCTTTTTGGAAACTCCATAAAGCAACATTCAGCTACTGTTAATTTGGATATGATAAAAAAGTTTTTCTAGACTCACTTATTCCTAGACCCTTGTTTGTCTTCGTCTAATGATAAATCAGTTCAAATTGTCAAAAAAAATAATAATAATAATAAATAAATAAATAAATAAAATAAAATAAAATAAAAATTGAAATACTTTTTGTTTATTGTTAATTTGAGAAGAGAAACAAATATATTTCAGGTTCCAGTTTCAAGAAATATGTTTAATTTCTCTATTTTTTTTTTAAACCAGAGAAAACAGGATTGTCTTGATTCTGCCTCCAGTGTGGATTCCATAAAATTTGGAGAACTTGTTGGTTTGTGATTGTTAACTAGTACCGGGAAATCTGGACCAGACTTGTTTCGAGAGCATGTATGGCTTAGTTTAAAAGATGTAAAAATTATTTTTAAGCTTCTTTCTGCCAAACATAAAATTATAATTTACCTTTTTTACACAAAAAAGACTTGACCTTTTCAGAAAATAAGTCCTGAAATTTTAAAGAGTATGTCAGGAATCATCATAAACTAGGAATCAACATGTTTTCTTGAATCAACCCTATAACTAATATGCTAAATATTGCCAATTCTCATTTGTCATCTAGTATGAAGCTGTCCATCAAATAATTGTGGTTTGGTCGAATTTGGCCAAATTAACTGGCCTGGCGGATTCGAGCCACATAAAAAGCTTCTGGTTATCTTGAATGTCTTACATTATGTTTAAAACTTATTTACTCTTTTTCTTTTTCAACAGCTTGGGAAAGCTAGTATTTCCATGCGAACGGGTTGATGCTCGGTGGGGCAAGCTAGAGTGCGAGCAGCGTGAATGTGATCTACTAGGGACTTCGACATATTTTGGCAAGGGAACATGATGAAGCTAGCACTTGAGAATCGAGAGCAAAGAAAATTACGTATTACAGAATAGATATATACAAACCACTTCAGAAGAACCAGTGGCATCCTCAAATAACATTGGTTTTCCATTGATGTTTCGGGTGGTGTGAAGTGTTATTTGTTGCTATCATCCTCCTAAGCGAAGTCTCGTTTTAATTTTTTATTATTATTTTGGTGAGGGTTTCCCATTGGAAAGCCCCCTGGCTCTTGAGGAAATATACTACAGACAAGCTAATTGTTGGTTGGGTTCTGTATAACCAATCTTCTATTGCAAACTTTTAATTGTATCAAATAATGAATATTTCTACTGATTTGCTACTGTTGTCATTTTGAATTCGGAAAAAATAGTTTGTTTATATTTCTCGTGATGTTTTCAATACGTTTAAAGGGAGATTATTGCTTTTGAAAGTCTAAATGAGTTTTTAAGATCCTAAAACAGTCATTGGACCAGTTTGGCTAAATTTAAGAAAGTGCTTCTTTTACTTAGAAGAGTTTTTAGAGATAGCTGGTTTGACGTAATTTTTTCTAAAAGCACTCTTAGAGTAGAAAGCTCTTTTAAAAATTAGTTTTTAAGCAAAAATTAGGGCAACTTTCTTGAAAAAAACATTTTTACAGAGAGCAAAAATTATGCCAACTGGACCAATAATTCAATAGCAAATAAGCAGTTGTCCATATTTGCAAAGTGCTTTGTTTTATGTTGAAGAGAAAGGTCATGGGAGGAGTGATTAGAAGAGGCACTCCTCCTCGCTGCTGAGCTTCCTGGGTCTAATTAGTGACTCTGCATTCCTAGTTACGTTCTACATTTCAATACGTTTAAAGGGAGATTATTGCTTTTGAAAGTCTAAATGAGCTTTTAAGATCCTAAAACAGTCATTGGACCAGTTTGGCTAAATTTAAGAAAGTGCTTCTTTTACTTAGAAGAGTTTTTAGAGATAGCTGGTTTGACGTAATTTTTTCTAAAAGCACTCTTAGAGTAGAAAGCTCTTTTAAAAATTAGTTTTTAAGCAAAAATTAGGGCAACTTTCTTGAAAAAAACATTTTTACAGAGAGCAAAAATTATGCCAACTGGACCAATAATTCAATAGCAAATAAGCAGTTGTCCATATTTGCAAAGTGCTTTGTTTTATGTTGAAGAGAAAGGTCATGGGAGGAGTGATTAGAAGAGGCACTCCTCCTCGCTGCTGAGCTTCCTGGGTCTAATTAGTGACTCTGCATTCCTAGTTACGTTCTACATTAAATTATGTGGAACATTTCGCTTCCATGAAAGTTTCAACATTGTTGATGATGATAAGAATTGCTAATATAAAGATATTCGAGACTATGGTAGGGTGGTACATTTAATCACAAAATTAAAGGTCCCTACTCGATAGGTTCATAAAGCGACTAGATTAGGTCAATTAAGAAAGAACACAGATCAAATCAAGGGACTTTGAGAGAAAAATGTGATCAAATGACCCATTAATAAAGTGACAGTATAGTTCTCTTTTGCTATGGCTTTGATGACTTAGTTTCATTGTTAGCCTATTGTGGTGGCTTGACTCCATTATACTCAAATTTTGAATTATTGGCTTTACTCATTTTCTTTTTGGTGGTTGGACAACGAAACTTACACTTGTTCAGTATAACGTCGTGCAATTTGGTGTAACGAGAATATCCAGTCTATACTACTGAATAATTATTTAATTTATCATTTCCAATTTTTTTATCACTTAAATAAAAAAAGGCCCACGAACTTATATCTATTGTCAAACTTCTCTCGACTTTTATTCATTGTATTTTTATCTTCAACATTCTATTAATTAACATACATTGTCTTTGATATGGTTTTCGCGAAAATGTCTAGTTGTACTTTTGTATTATGACTTTTTTGCTTATTTAAAAAATAAATTAAAATTTTTTACGTCCTCTTGATAGATTTTTGGAAAGAAACATCGTGAACTGACAAAGATGTGCCGGTTAATGAGTGAGAATAATCATATGAACTAAAAAAAATAATAATAATAATAATAATGATAATAATGATATAAATATAACAATACATAAAAATTAAAATTTTCAGTACAAATAAAATTTTTGTCCCTATTTGGGTAGGGATTAAAATCTAACTTTTAATCTAAATTAAAGTCAACAATTAATTTTAATAACATATCTTGTGGAACCATAGTTTTTTCATCACACATTTCATTAACTTTTATGTAAAATATACTAAAAATTTGATTTTAACTTCCACTGATATAACCACGAGTTGTTATATTGGCATCTTAACTTTTATTATTACATTATATTTTAATTGTAGTTAAGCACACCAATCTTTGCACGTTTCAGCTATTATTTTCCTAATTGCATTCGTAGAATTCTTATCTTTGAAATGTAGGAAAAGTATTATTTCCATTACTTCTTCATTTTTTAACAATATGGTAGAAAATAAGTTATTTTACGCTATTTCAACAAATTTTTTGGACATAAACAGTTGTCAAATACAAAATGGTTAACTAATGAAAAAAATTGAAGGTAAGAGTTCAATGAAAAATCGCTATAAACGTAAGTGTTATAATTATCAAAGATGGAGAATTTTAAGTGCAATATAGTGCATGTTTGAGCCATATTATTTTGAAAGAATGTATTTTGGAATAGTAGATTGACAGAGAATTGTGGTTAAAAAATGAAAAAAAAAATTGGATTTAAGAGTAATATTATTTTATTGAAGAATGTGTGATTAAAATGATGATTGTTTTTTTGAAAAAATGTGACTCAAGCAAGACAATGATAAGGTTTAGAAGTGCTATGTGTACAGAATTTCTTTACCAAAATTTTTACAAATTGCACATGGCAACATCCAGTTAAGCAATGACAAAGGGGGGAAAAAAAAGAAGGATCAACCCTACGCAGGGGCGGACCCATACCGTTCGAACTGTGGGGTCAAAATTTTTTTTTCGAACAACGTATCATGAACAAAAAGGAAAAATCGATTGTTTGCTGTTCATGTTCGATATTTGCACTTTGGGAAGAAATCGATGGATTATATGATATATTTATGGACTAAAGAATGTATATGGACCATGTGATATGGATATATATTTAGGATTTGAACTTTTTGGAACAGAAAATTAAGTTTTCAGCAAAAAAAAAAAATTTCAGAAAACTATGGGGTCATTTGACCCCACATGACCCCATGTGGGTCCGCCCCCGACCCTACACTAACATGTGGTATAATTTTATCACTTCTGCTTCTGCACGAGTAGATAGTAATAGTAGAAATTAGTACTTTTAAAAAAAATTATAATTAGTAGAAATAATATTTTACCTTGTGACTATGCCAATATTGATATACCCCGAGGAGTGTATCCCGAGGACTCAATATATACCCCACCCCATTTCTCTTCTATGGTCCTCGGGGTCACCCTAAGTCCTCGAGGTATTGTAGTCCTCGAGATACCTCGAGGACACATTTACATTCTCTCAATGTCCTCGAGACATACACCACCAACATGCCTCCTAAGACCTGGGTACCTAACTAACAAAACCTAAACGCCCAAGGATTCTACATCAACCCTGACACCACTTGTCAAACAATTCCATTACAAGTAGGACACTCTTTATAATAGAAATTTCCTTGGATAAAAATATCCAACCAACACAATCCTACTAGGAGTACACTACCTACTTCTATAAAAGCAGAACCTTGGGCCATTATTCAGGTACGTTTTTACATTGTTCTTCAACACATAGTCTCACGCATATATTTCCCTTTCTGACTTAAGCATCGGAGGGGCGACGAGTACACACCTCGTTGCCTTTGTTTCAGGTATCGGAAGATCACGTTCGTGCTCAACATCCGTCATCAAGCTCGGGAAATCTTCAGGTACGATTTTTGGTAGCATCATTGGCGCCGTCTGTGGGAAGCGCTACCAAAAGCCATGGTAAACACACGATCAGGTCTTCCACCCGCAAGCTCATCCGCTCCAAACCAACACTCTCCTAAGGATATCCCTGTTCCTCAAGAGGAATCATCAGAAGTGCCAGAGCCCCAGCCAGCAGTCGTCACTACGGGAGCCTTTGAAGAGCTCAGACAATAGGTCGCCACATTGACTCAGCTGCTAAGCAAAGAAATTCGCATCCGTCACCCACACCGGCACCCCAGGAGGGTTTTATGGCTAATGCTCGAGCTCGAGCTCATGTCCCTGACAATGGCTGAGCAGGGGCCTCGGGTATACCACATGTGACCTCGGCCTCGAGATCAGTGACCATGGAGTCCGGGGAACTCGCTAGGATTATTCAAGAAGGAATTACGGCAAGCCTACTTCAGGGCAACAAAGGGACGACAAGATTCAGTCCCAAAACTCCATTTATTCCCGAGATATTGACATTCCCCTTGCCGGACAGATTTAAGTATCCTAGGATCAAAGAATATGATGGGACCACCGATCCAATCAATCATCTGAACATATACACGGACGTCATGAATTTACAGGTTGCACCAGATCAGGTGATGTGCAAGGCCTTCTCGCAAACTTTGACGAATGCTGCTAGGGATTGGTTCTCAACCTTAGAGTCCAACTCCATAGCCTCATTCTCGGATTTGGCGGACAAGTTCTCCGCTTTCTTCGCAAGCAGCAAACGCATCAGGAAGACAGCGGCTTCCCTCATGCAACTTAGACAAGGGAAAAATGAGACCTTACGTGACTTCATGACCAGATTCAACAAGGAAAGACTTCAGATTCCCGACCTACACATAACTGCAGCAGTTTCTACCCTCACATATGCCATAAAGTGTGAGGCTTTCAAGATGTCTTTATCCAAAACTTCACCAAAGACAGTCACCGAGCTTCTTACCCGAGCCGAGAAGTACATAAATATGGAGGAAACACTGAACCCGAGAAAGGTTGGACCTTCCCATGACAGGGTCGAGCATAAAAGACAGCATGACCCGAAGAACAACATCGAAAAAAACAGAGACAGGAGGTTTCCCCGACGCCGTTCACGCGTTTAAATACGTCAAAGACCAATATATTGATGGAGATCAAGGATATGAAGGAACTGAAATGGCCTGTTAGAATGAGGTCACCACCCGAATCTAAGGACATGAACAAGTACTGTGAGTTCCATCGGGATCATGGGCATACCACGGAGAACTGTAAGGCCCTGCAACGAGAGATTGAAGCCCTTATCAAAAGAGGACTCTTGAGCTCCTACGTCGGTAATGACAAGCGCCCAAGGAATGATCGTGGCAGGGAAAAAGACCCTGAGCCAAAAAGGGATGGTCAACCCACTGCTGGAACTATCAATATCATCATTGGAGATATTGCCTCGGGAGGAGACTCCAACAATGGAAGAAAACAGTATGCCCGACGATATGCCTTGGCCTCTGGGATGCCTCATGGAAAGCTGGAGGATAGCACTTTTGGGACCAGAGACTTAGAAGGCGTATCATTCCCACATGATGACGCCTTGGTAATCTCAGCGATTTTGGCCAATTTTGAAGTAAAGAGGATCTTGGTTGACAACGGGAGTGCGGCCAATATACTTTCACAAGAAGCTTTTGCTAAAATGGGAATCTCATCTCAGCAGCTCAAAGCGGTTAAAACTCCTCTCCAGGGGTTTGGGGGAGGAGTCATCACTCCAGAGGGTGTCGTCGAGCTCCCTCTAACTTTGGGTTCTGGCCAGAAACAGGTTACGGAGATGACATCCTTCCAAGTGGTACGTGTCTCAATGGCCTATAATGCTATTCTGGGGAGACCACTCCTGAACAAAATTAAAGCCATTGTGTCTACCTTCCACCTGGCCCTGAAGTTTCCAACAAGTAATGGCGTTGGGGTCGTCCGTGGAGACCAGACAGCTGCCAGACAATGCTATGTTGCCAGCGTTCGGGAAATAAATAACGACGTCATGCAAATCTCGAGGATTGATCCCGAGGACGGGCAACAAGTCAGACTTGCCCCTGTCGAAGAATTGATGGAAATTGAGCTCGAGCATGATAAGAAGGTGACTATTGGTCGGGATCTTGACGTCGCCCTAAAGACAGAACTTGTTGGTTGCTTATCTCGCAACATTGACGTTTTTGCCTGAAAGGTTGAGGATATGTCAGGGATAGACCCTAAAATTGCAGTCCACAGGCTTAACATTAACCCAGGGGCCAGGCCAGTAAAACAGAGGAAAAGACAGTTCGCCTCAGAGCGTCGGGAGGTCATTCGCGAAGAAATTAACAAACTCATCAGTGCTCGGTTCATTCGGGAGGTCCAATATCCCGATTGGCTTGCCAATGTTGTTTTGGTGAAGAAGGCCAATGGTAAGTGGAGAGTCTGCATTGACTTCACAGATCTTAATAAAGCATGTCCAAAGGATAGTTATCCCCTACCGCGGATTGACAACTTGGTGGATAGCACGTCTGGACATAAGCTATACAGCTTTTTGGATGCATTTTCTGGTTATCATCAAATCCTCATGGCTGAGGAAGATCAAGAAAAGACCTCATTCATGGCCGATTCCGCCATATACTGTTATAAGGTTATGCCTTTCGGTTTGAAGAATGCAGGGGCAACATACCAAAGGCTCATCAACAAAGTCTTTGCTAACTTGATTGGAAGGAATGTGGAGGCGTACATTGATGACATGGTGGTCAAAAGTAAACAGGTGGACCAACATATTTCAGATCTTGAAGAAGTGTTCAACACCTTGCAAAAGTACGGAATGAAGTTGAACCCCGCAAAATGTGCATTTGGCGTAGCCTCGGGCAAGTTCTTGGGCTTCATGATCACTCACCAGGGGATAGAGGCCAACCCTGATAAAATACAAGCATTAGCGTCTATGGAATCACCAAGGAACAAGAAAGAGGTACAGAGGTTGACTGGTAGGATAGCAGCCTTGAACAGATTCATGTCCCGAGCATCAGACAGGTGTTATCCCTTCTTCAAAGTCCTCAGAAGAAACCAAAGCTTTGATTGGAGTGAAGACTGTGAGAAAGCTTTTCAGGAACTCAAGCAGACATTAGCATCTCCTCCTATTCTCACTAGGCCTGAGCTTGGTGACACATTATTTTTGTACTTGGCCGTATCTCAAAATGCTGTCAGTGGGGTCTTGGTGAAAGAGGTTAACAAAGTCCAGCAACCTATCTACTATGTAAGCAAGGTCCTACTGGATGCGGAAACCAGGTATACTCTGGCGGAACAACTTGCCCTTGCCTTGGTTATAGCAGCACGGAAACTCTGGCAGTATTTTCAGTCTCACCCTATTGTGGTGCTCACTAATCAACCACTTAGGCATATACTTCAGAAGCCGAACGTATCAGGAAGACTGATGAAATGGGCAATCGAGCTTGGAGAATTTGACATAGAATTCAAACCACGCCCATCTATCAAAGCCCAAGCTCTGGCCGACTTCATTGCAGAACTAACCCCTAAGCCTCGGGGGCCAGGTGATAGCTCGAGCATGAGCACTAATTTGGACACTTGGCAAATATTTGTGGATGGAGCATCGAACTCCTCGAGCTCGGGCGCAGGGGTCATCATCATCAGCCCTGACAAACAAACAGAGATCCAATGCGCTCTCAGATTCGAGTTTGAAGCAACCAACAACGAGGCCGAGTACGAGGCCGTCGTTATTGCTCTTGAGCTAGCCCTTTGCCTAGAGCTCGAGTTCGTAAAGGTATTCAGCGATTCACAGCTAGTGGTCGGACATATTGAAGGATCATTTGAAAGGAAGGAGAAGAAAATGAGTTTGTACTGTATGAAGGTTCAGGATCTTCAACGAAAATTCAAGAGCTGTGAAATCACAAAAATTGCTCGAAAGGACAACGGAAAAGCCGACGCATTATCCAGGCTTGTGTTCATGGGGGTAGACGGCCTTGACAGAATGGTTCACACTAAAATCATCACAGAACCCAGCATTAGTCAAATCGTCGACATCATGGACATTGACAACGAACCATCCTGGATGGACCCGATCATAGAATTCATCACAAGCGGAAGTCTACCAAGCAATGCCAGGTTGGCCAGAAGCATCAGAGCCCGAGCTCCTAGGTACTGCATGATCAGCGGTGTGCTCTTTCGCAGAAGTATTACTCTTCCATACCTAAGGTGCCTCAGGCCATCAGAATCATCCCAGGCCCTTGCTGAAGTTCATGAAGGTGTGTGCGGGAATCATCAAGGAGCCAGGGCCTTGGCCTTTAAACTCGTACGATATGGATACTACTGGCCAACTATGAAAAAAGACGCCTCAGAATATGTTAAAAGATGTGATAGGTGCCAGAGGTTTGGTAATGTTATCCACTCACCAGCCGAAGATCTCACCAACATTAACTGTTCGGCCCCGTTTGAACAATGGGGAGTTGACATTCTCGGCCCCTTTCCTGTGGCAAGAGGCCAATTAAAGTTTGTTGCTGTAGCAGTAGAGTACTTCACAAAATGGGTAGAGGCCGAACCCCTCGCCACAATATCGGAGCCCAAGCTAAGAACCTTCACTTGGAGGTCTATCATTTGCAGGTTTGGGATACCAAAGGTCCTCATCACCGACAATGGCAGGCAATTTGACAACCAACAGTTTAGAAACTTTTGCTCAAACCTTGGGATTGATCATCGTCTGACATCAGTTTCGCATCCTCAGAGCAATGGCCTGGCCAAGGTAACAAATCGAATCATATTGCAAGACCTCCGAACAAGAATAATCGATGCAAGGGGTTCTTGGTCCGACGAGCTGCCTTCTATACTTTGGACGTATAGAACAACTCATAGGACAACCACAGGAGAAACCCCTTTTATGTTAGCCTATGGCATTGAAGCAATGGTCCCGGTGGAAATTATACTGCCAAGCCATAGGAGGTTCGTGCCAGAAACCTCGGAGCATACAACTGAACATCTTGATCTCTTGGAAGAAGTACGGGAGCAAGCCGCTATAAAGGTGGCCTCTTACCAAACTAAGACAGCGAAACATTTTAATAGCAAAGTCAAGGATCGGAGGTTCAGAGCTGGCGATTTGGTCTTGAGAAGGGCCAAAGCAGCAGGCCATCCCCCAGGGAAGCTCGGGCCCATCTGGGAAGGGCCCTTTGAGGTCATACGACAGGTTCGCAAAGGAGCATACAGCCTAAGAGACACCTCGGGCAGACCTCTTCCGAGGCCCTGGAATGTCGACAATCTAAAAATATATTACAAGTAAAATTCCCGACGCCTTTTAGGAAATTTTCTTTTTCTGCATTTTATTTCTAGTTTAGCGGGCCTGCGTGCCTATGCATGTTTTCCGTTCTCTTTTGTAATGAACTACGTTCGGCTTGATCCCGTTTGGGTACGTAGGCAGCTTGGATACAATATAAATCCAAGTCCAGTCCAAAAAATTAGTAAATTCAAGCTTCGGCCATAAAAGCCCTTTAGTAAAAGCCTTGCCCCAGGCAAGCACTCCAAAAAGCCTTGCCCCGCGCAAGCACACAAAAAAGTCTTGCCCCGCGCAAGCACGAAAAGCCTTGCCCCAGGGAAGCACTCCAAAAAGCCTTGCCCCGCGCAAGCACACAAAAAAGCCTTGCCCCGCGCAAGCACAAAAAGCCTTGCCCTAGGCAAGCAGTCAAAAAAGCCTTGCCCCGCGCAAGCATAAAAAGCCTTGCCCCAGGCAAGCAGTCAAAAAAGCCTTGCCTCAAGCAAGCACCAAAGCCTTGCCCTGCGCAAGCACAAAAGGCCTTGATCATATACTCAAGCGTTAACCATTATAGTATCGCCCAGGGACATAAAAAAATCCCACATCATTTTGGACACCCTCGAGAATCTCACATTACAACTTTTTAAAGTTTAGTGTGCTTGAGGTTTATAGCCCTCGAGGATTTCACAACCCAACTTTCTAAAGTTTAGTGTGCTCGAGGATTACAGTCCTCGAGGAAATCACAACCCAACTTTTTAAAGTTTAGTTGTGCTCGAGGATTACAGTCCTCGAGAATGTCACTCAATTTTTAAAGTTTCGTTGTGCTCGAGGATTACAGTCCTCGAGAATGTCACTCAATTTTTAAAGCTTAGTTGTGCTCGAGGATTACAATCCTCGAGAATGCCACTGTGAATTTTTAAAGTTTAGTTGTGCTCGGGATTGCAGTCCTCGAGAATGGCACTCATTTTTTAAGATTACAGTCTTCGAGAATGTCACATCATCATTTTTTATATTTGTGCTCGAGGATTACAGTCCTTGAGAATGTATGTCTGTCACTTTTTAATCTCTTAAATGCGCTCGAGTTGTGGAATCCTCGAGTAAACACTTCAATGTCGCATGAGCAGTTAGTTTCCAATTTGTTTGCTCGAATGTATGGAGTCCAAGGGGTTGAGATAAATAGTTCGAATAAATTAACTTTAGAACATACATAGTCCTCGATCAATTTACATTGTCAAAATTAAACAAAAAATTACAAAGGATTGGGGTGGGGAAGTCATCCAATGTGGCCAAGAGGAGGGTCGAGGTTGCTGATGTCGATCTCAACGTCGTCCTCAAGACCATCCTCATCATCTCCACCCGATCCTCCTCCATCTTCCGAACCCGAGAGCTCCAATGTATCAGCAATGGAAGGCACCGTCTTCAGGTCGTCTGGAGTGACGTCGGGCAACTTCTGACGGAGGAAGGCCCGGGCTTCTTTCAGAGCATGGAAGTACGCCCCCGACGCATACTCCCCTTTTATCTTGTCGCAGTCCTCGGAGGTTTTAAACTCCTTCCAAGCCCTCTCCCTGACAGCCGCGAGCTCGCGCCCGAAATCCTCTGTCTTCTGGATGAGCTCGAGCCTCGCGCCCTCGACCTCATCCTTTGCTATAACCAGGTCATCCCTGGCCTTTGCAGCCTCCTTCCTCGCGTCATGACGCTCCTTCAATAAAACCTCGACTTGTACCTCGAGGTCTTGAATCCTGCTGTCCTTAGAGGCCATGGTCGTCTTGACCCCAGCTGCCCTCTTGGCCTCCTCGAGCCCTTGCAGAGAGAGTCCTCGAGCTATACTCAACATCTGGAAAAAAATGAAGAAAATGTCAAGTATTAAGCTCGACCAATGAACTCGAGGCTAAAGTCGAAAGTTCGAAGATTACCTTCACTGTATGACCCTCGAGGACCTTCATCCCATGCTCGAGCTTGACCTCCTCTTTGTATTTGTTTACGAGCTCAGGAGCGAGGTGGCAAGTCTCAAAGTCCCCGGTAAGAGACGGGTCATCCTCAAGGTCAACCACTTCAGAAGGAGGTCGAGGAGTGACGACCCGAGGAGTGGGAGATCTGAGGTTTGGTTGCAGAGGGGTCGAGACTTGTGGATGTGCTCGAGAAGTTTCGCCAGGCCCACTCGCACCCTCAGGAGCCCCTCGAGGCCTCTTCTTGCTTTTCTTCCTCGGGGGCTGCCCCTGTGGATGAGCGTCTCCCCTTGTGTTGACAAAGTTCCGGAGAGCCCGAGGATCAAAAGACATACCTGCAAATATTTACAAACATTTTAGAACGAGCACAAGGTCAGGGTATTTTTCAAAAAATAATAATAAAGGAACATCCCTACCCTCGACGCCTCTAATATCTGCCAGGTCTATAACCTCTTCCCCAATCTCCTTCATCGTCGAGGAAAGGGGGCTGAGCCCGACCAGCATCCTCCTATGCTCTTCCAAAACATCTGGATACACCTGGCCCTCACAGAACTTCTCGGCGTCGGGGATTCCCCAATCAGGCCAGAAAGGAAGATCGGGTTCTTGGGCTATAACATAAAACCACCCCTCCCTCCACCCCTTTAAAGAGCTCGCCATCCTCGGGACTTTAAAGCCCCCAATCGTCGAGAGATAGCCAAAACAAGTGTATCGAGGATGCTTCTTAAGTTCGAACACTAATTTGCTGAGGCTAATGTTGGGCTCGATACCTAAGTATCTACATGCTATAAAAAAATAAACGAGCATTCTCCAGGCGTTGGGCACTAACTGCCCCGGGCACATGGAGTGCTCGACTAATAGAGCAATAAAGAAAGGGTGAAGGGGCCACCTAAAGCCAGCCTTAAGGGTCTCCCTAAAAATAACAAACTCCCCTCGTTGTACTCGAATAATCCTATCCTCAGGGTCAGGAAATCTAACATCGCAATTAGGCATTATACCATATTCCCTAGCTGCAGCTATGACTGAGTGCTCTTTAAGCCTAACGGGTTCGTCGGGATACTCAAAAACCATATAACCTGGGCCTCGGGAGTAGCCTCTAGGGGAATAGCCGTCGGTATTATCGAGGTCCCTACGTCCTCACTACTACTAGAACTGCTAGAAGATTCTCGACCCTCACTACTCGACATCACTTAACAAACTTAAGACCTAGCTTATGAATAACTTAAAGTCTCGAGCCTTACCTGGAGTTCCCGACGACTTGAGAAGTTCCCAAAGTGTTTTTCTCGAGCACGACCTCGCTGAACTCTGATTTACAATGGGTAAAAGTGAAAAATGAAGGTGAGAACAATAGTATTTATAGGTGAAAATGATGGGAGGCCAAAGGTCGCTATCTACGACCGTCCACGAAGACACGTGTCACAAATCCAAGCCACTCTCTGCAACGGTCATATCTCGACCTATATTATCAGCCATCACTTCTCGACGAAGGTTCGAGAAATGATATAACCCATGTGCACCCCATCCTAAGAGCTCGATCTCTAGGACGAGTGCACGGGGGCCAGTGACTATGCCAATATTGATATACCTCGAGGAGTGTATCCCGAGGACTCAATATATACCCCACCCCATTTCTCTTCTATGGTCCTCGGGGTCACCCTAAGTCCTCGAGGTATTGTAGTCCTCGAGATACCTCGAGGACACATTTACATTCTCTCAATGTCCTCGAGACATACACCACCAACATGCCTCCTAAGACCTGGGTACCTAACTAATAAAACCTAAACCCCCAAGGATTCTACATCAACCCTGACACCACTTGTCAAACAATTCCATTACAAGTAGGACACTCTTTATAATAGAAATTTCCTTGGATAAAAACATCCAACCAACACAATCCTACTAGGAGTACACTACCTACTCCTATAAAAGCAGAACCTTGGGCCATTATTCAGGTACGTTTTTACATTGTTCTTCAGCACACAGCCTCATGCATATATTTCCCTTTCTGACTTAAGTATCGGAGGGGCGACGAGAACACACCTCGTTGCCTTTGTTTCAGGTATCGGAAGATCACGTTCGTGCTCAACATCCGTCATCAAGCTCGGGAAATCTTCAGGTACGATTTTTGGTAGCATCACCTTGAAACTTATATTTTTACTTAGAGAGGCCGTTTGGTAGCCATTGTATTTCCCAATCAATTCATTTTTGGATTGTTTTATGTCCAATTTCTGACAAGGCATGTGATTGTTTTGCAGGCGCCTAAAATTCCCATTTCCTCCAATGCCCCTCCCACCGATAGTCTACATTCTCTCTCTCTCTCTCTCTCTCTCTCTCTCTCTCCCCCTCTCCTTTTTGTGTGAAACTGGCGACAACACCGACAGCCTACAATTTCTCTCTCCTTTCTGGGTGCAACTGGCGAACACAGCCTCACAGACCTAAACGGCGAGCAAACTTTCCAAACACACAGGTGTCGGCTTCAACATTCCTCACAGTCCTGACAATGAAGAATCCAGGAGCAAGGCCTCGACATCGACCTCTTCTACCAATTCTCTCGCCTGCACAACTTCACTGCAACCCATCTTCTCCGGCCTAAGAAAATGGATCCCACCAGATTACAGGTACTCCACTTTTTTCCCCTTGTCTCTTGCACTTGCAATCGGCTCTCTCTACATACTAACGACACCTTCTACTTCACAGTTGGGCGCAGCTCCTCCTGCACGTCTGCCGATACAGCCGAATCAGCCAGGGCTTCGGGCTCGAAATCCCACGCACCATGGAACCTGGAAGCAGCCCAAGCTTTCATGGCGGCTTGCGAAAATGCCATAGCCGAGGGACACCAAAACGGTCAGTGTTTCACTAAAAATGGCTGGGAACGCATGGTTGCCCTCTTCAAGTCCATCATCGGCCACAACTGGACTCGACAGCAGTTGCGCAACCATTGGGACGCAATGCGCCGAACGCACAAACGTTTGTCGGAGTTTGTGAACAGCAGCCGGGTGGCGTACAACAAAGCCAAGGGCCGCATCGTCGCGTCGGAGGAATGGTGAAACCGAAAGCTTAAGGTAACGTCTCCCATTTCATTTTCATTCGAAATTGACACTAGTATTGCTGCTTGTCCTCCTGTTGCTGCTACATATTGTTGTACAATGTATTTGGCTGTTGATGCTTCCTGTGATGTTTGAGATATATTACTATACACACAAGAACATGCTAAGGAATGAAAGAAATTACGACTCCGCTACAGGTACAGGAAACTTATTACCGAATTGGTAAAGAAATTTAAATATGCTGACGCGAATTTATAAAAAAAAAAAGAAAAAAGAAGAAGACCAAATCTCGCAATAACAACTCAATAGGGCACATAATCTTCCCCCAACTCCAGTCTGCTTCCTTGTCACCCTCGATTCGTCGACGACCTTACCAAGCACCAATCGAAGCAAAACCGATCGCCGAACTAACTGTCTGACAATGAAATCGGTTTCCACCAAAACCTGAACTTCAGAGCAGTGGCGAAGTGGCGACGAAGGGAAACGTTAACCCACGGTGAAATCAACCGCTGTAATCTGAAACCAACGTGAAATCAACGGTCGCACTACCTCTCCCTGAGTTCGGTGATTCCTCCAGTTGCGAAATCTGCTGCAAGCAATTTTATAAGTCTCCTTTGGTAAGTGGGTTTTTATAAATCTGGTGCAAACAATTTTATAAGTCTCCTTCGGTAAGTGGGTTTTTATAAATCTGCTGCAAACAATTAGTCTCCAACTTTGTATATTGCTTATTGGTTTCGGTGCAAGTCATCTTGTAAAAATTTTGAATTTACCAGACATTTTTCTATTTGTAAGATAGTTGCCTTTATTGCTAGTTAATAATTGTAAGATACGTATGTGCTGGGATACCAATTTGGGCTATAAGCTGTTAGATTAAAAGAAATGTAGCCTTTTTTCTATCTGTCTGTTGAATCGAAGTGGAATGGAATGCTTCAGTTGTATGCTCTGGAATGATTCAATTGTATGCTCTTGAGTTTGTAACTGAGGATATTGTTGTTTCATTTGCAGTCAGTCATCCAGTAGAATGAGAGGAAGAAATTTTGGAGTTTGTCACGGATGTAGAAGCAACAGTCACTATTTTGGACAATGCCCATCAAAACAAAGATGCCCTAGTTGTGACCACAGATATCAGAAATGTTTTGACGTTGAACGGGATACCAGTAACAAAAGGCTTTTGTTCCTCACCTGTAGCGATGAGTGTGGATACTTTGATTAGGTGAAAGATGAAGCCGTAGGCGAGGAATCGAGTTCCATTAATCATCCTGTGAATGATGCGCCGAACAAGGAAGACGAAGAGTTGCCAAGACTATTTGATGGACTAGCTAGAATTAGCGAGAAACGAGGGGTAGACATATCAGTGCACATGACTTTCAGCAAGGGAAAAGAAATTGCGAAATGTGACGAGCAAAAAAAGGGGTCGGGTTGAAGGGATTATTTATGTAAGTGGTCGATGAATTCGTGTCCTTTTTCTCGGGTACAAATGTTGTAATTCCTCTTTTACATTGTTTTCCAGCATATGTAATTAGGTCTTTGCAGTTTGTGTATCAACAACTCTGTTCTCAACTAGATCACATTTGTTCCCCACCAAAAGCTTGCATACACTGTCATTTGCATAGCTATCAATCTCATTAAGCCATTGCTTAACATTGTTGAAGCTTTCCATTTCAGTTACATCGTACACAATCTGTTGCAATTAAGTAAATGTGAGATTGTTCTTATCATGAATGGAAACAAAGCAAAACCGCATTGAGTGAGTAAAGATGGCAAAGAAAAACTATTACTCCTAAGAAAGCAAAAAATGAACAATACTGTATTTAGGTAGGTAAAGATGGCACAAAACCATTGAAAGCACAAATCTTATCAAATTACCAACTGATTTAATGACATTGAGAATAACGCAGAACATATCTTTGTAATTATGAACTTCTATTTTCATGTGTTGGGAAATAAAACTTTATAAATTGGGCAAACAATACAAAATATTTGCCATAAATTCCATAAATGATATTAACTCTTACAAACATATGTAATTAGGTCTATGTAATAAACGGTATTAACTCTTACAAACATAATCATTTGAAGTCATAATACTCGCAACGACAAACAATTTGATGTTTAGCTTTCAAAATAACAAAAAAAAGTGTGTATTAGATGGGGACTTCTACAATAGCAAAACAAATTCCTTCTCAATTCCCACGGAAGCACACCTAGAAAGAGAGGCTCCGTTTCCTTTCTCGTCTCCACCAATTTCGAAATGCTTGCACCTCTGTAAACATCGTGATAATAAAATAATCGTAAACATCGTTGATATGTTTCATAAAGAAAATTACATCAAATATATATATAAACCTTTGGTTTACACAAACCTTCCGAACGAGAATCACATGCCCGTGCCACCTTGATCAGGCAAATGTGGATAGAAGTATGGCATGATTAGACCTGTGTTCGAAAGTGCAAAAAATGCACAAAATTGAAATAAGGATACTACACAAAAAAATTACTAAACTTGAGAAATAACATTCCAATTTCCGGACTCCAATTTCATTCATTTATTGGCATCATCAAACAATACATTATTTCGTTGTCAAGTTATGCTCCAAATTTTTTTTTTTTTTTGGATCAAATATCAGAGCCTATTTTTGGATCAAATATCAAAATTCCTTAATCTGATCGACCATAAACCTAATTTGGCATCTAGATACAAAATTTTTAGTAACATTTTCTAGTAAAAACAAAAATGCATTCAGATAGTCCTGATTAAATGTGATCGTCAAATGTATAATTCTTGTTGCAGACCACGTGATAGCTAGCTAATTAGATTGTCAGGTCGTGCCTTCAGATGCCTCTACTAATTGCTTCCAACATTTCCTTCGATAAAATTTCCAGCCGTAGACTAATCCAGGCTCAAAAACCCACAGAAATTGTTGCATGCTATTGGCCAACCCCCACGCCACTTCAATCAATGTTTCCTCATGCATTTCTACGATACTCCCAAAACTCACATAGATCTCTGACTTAGGTGCTTGTGTATCAAGCCATGAGATAGAAGTTCGATCTTGTGTCCATAAACTGCTTGAGTAGGGTGAAAAGCACTTGTGAAACGAGCCAATTGCAAAAACTGTTCTTGAAGTTTTTCAAATTCAGTCTCTTCCAGTTCTTTAAATGTGTTGAAAATGGGCCATGAGGCTGCTTTTTTTTTTTTTTTTTTTTTTTTTTTTTTTTCCCTTTTTTTTTTAAAACTTTTTTTTTTTTTTTTTTTTTGTTTTGGTTTTACCCTATTAGTTATAACATCATATGCTCCAAAAGAGTGACATTAATTAATAATTTTTTTTTTCTTTGGACCCCAAAAACTTAAGAAAGACATTCAATAACTAAGATAAACAAAAGGCACATATTCAATGCTAAATGGAAAGCATAACACTGGAAAACATAGTCACATGTAATGAAAATCATACCTTTCATTGCTAAATGGAGAGGTATACCTTGAGCATTAAGTACAACTTTTGTGCGCGTCGGCCGGATGAAACATTGTAATGGCGGCAGCATAGATCATTGTGGAAGTTGAGCCACCTGAACATCGATTGACGTCTCTTCTGTATTGCTACGTCGAACTGTAGGTCTCTTTCCTTTGCTCGATGATGCGGAGGCCTGCATGTTGGACAAGTAAAACAATTATTCATTTCAAAATGCCAACTCAACGAAGCTAATAATAGTAAGAAATTACCTTTGATCTGTTTGAGCTGGCCTCCAACGGGCTTTTCCTCCAAAGTTTCCTCGGTGCTCCCTTTCGTTTACACGATACTGGATCTAATAGGTTCGCATTGCTACTTGCCATTTGGGTCTGACCAGTGCTTTCCATACTTGACTTTGTAATCCGTAATTCGTTTGCTTGCGATCATATCCACTCCATTACACTGCGTACCTGTCCCTCATCGTCTGCTGCAAGGTCCGCCACCTCCGAAAAAGCCTGACACATTTCGTCATACCTAAGCTTTCCAAGAGTATTTGCTAGTCCATCGTAGTTTACTGCGATCCTATTTTGTGCTCTACTGACATCTCTTCTCCATCTCCTTATTATATACTGATCGGGCATCGAGAAAATTTTATTAAGAAACAAGACCGCAATCGCATGCCTACAAATAATTCCTCAAAATTCGAACAGGTGGCAGCTACAAATCAATTCGCACGTATCCCTCCGAAATGACACGGTAAAAGTTTTCATCTTTTGGTGATCATGAAGTGCGACATGCTCATGAATATCATAAGTCGACCAGTAGTAATCATTTGCACTTTCAGATATGACGTCGCAATATACCTTCCCAGTGATCTCATCCTGAACTTCTTTGAACTTTGAAATGGTATAAGCTGCTTGAAATTGCTTTTCCATTTCGAAAAGCATCGCACACGGTACCATTTGAGAATACGATTCGAAATCAGCCTGAAACTCCTTCTCTACCTTATTTCGTAGTGCTCTCTCGTACTGCTCGACGAACTACTTCAGTGAGGTCTTTGAATGCACATAACCATAAAAAAATGCATTCATATTCTCACTTCGTTGTGTAGTAGACATGCCTGCCCAGAAGGTGATTTTCAACAAACAAGCCACCCAACGAGCTCTATTCTCATACAACCCAGCTAACCAATCATTATCATGTAACTCATATGTTTCGAGCATCAAACTCTAACCTTCTTCGAATTCTTGACCATTGTCGGAATCATACACCAATTCATGAATTGCAGAAAATATTGAGCTCTTCTGAACATGATATCCGAACTTTTCTGGCAACTTCTTCATAATGTGCCACAGACACCATCTATGCTTCGTGTTCGGAAAAATAATATCAACTGTAGTTTGCATTGCCCGATCTTGATCAGTAATAATTGCATTAGGAGCTTGTCCATGCATACACTCAAGCCATGTTCTAAACAACCACACAAAAGTCCCGATGTCCTCATTCGATAACAGTCCGCAGCCCAACAGTATGGATTGTCCATGATGATTCACCCCAACAAAAGGGGCAAATGGTATGTCGTACTTATTAGTCAAATAGGTAGTATCGAAAGTGACGACATCACCGAACTCCTTGTAAGACTGCCTACATCTGTGATTTGCCCAAAAAACATTCTTTAGCCGACACTCCTCATCTAAGTCCATATTAAAGAAAAATCCTGAGCACCGTGCTTGCATCTTTGAAAAGTACGCCTGTATTGCGAGGGCATCTCCTTCTCCAAGGCGTAATCGTCTGACTTGTTCCACGTAGTTCTGACAATCCTTCTCCACAAAAGTAGTATTCTCGTATCCACCAGCGTCCACAACTGCGGAGTTATAAATCTTGTGCAACGAAATTCTTGCCATATCGTTCACTTCAAGGTTCCTTTTCACACTTGCACTCAATTTTCGATTGCATCGATACAACCCAGACTTCGAAGGACTCGTTTTATGGTTGTGATCGAGGTGCACTTTATTAATTCTCCAAACTCCAAGAATATCTAAAGATGCAGATATCTTTACTTTACAGTCTGTTTGACTTGTTGGTTGAGGCTTCAAGGATCCGCTTGTGGCATAACTTCTTTGACCTTGACGACTACATGTGAACATCACATATCTCATAACTCCATCTTCCCCTTTTTTGGAATTCCTTTTTCTCATTGGAAATCTTATGGCATAAGCATATCTTTTATAAAACTCAAACATTTCCTTCTCGTCGTGGAACATCATACCCACCACAGGTACGGTCACATCATCTCCTCCTATATTTTCGCTATCCAATGTGTTCAAATTCTCCACAACATTCTCATTATCACATTCCAACAACGAATCTCAATTGCCGTCTTCCATAATCTCCTTTCCTGCCACAATAAAAATGTTCACTTCACATCTAAGCATGCAATTAACCTATTACTTCATATAAGAATAAATGGGTCTGTACCAATTGGTACAGAAATTTAAACATACTACCCATTCTCTAGGACCCTACAAAATATTTCTTTGAAAAATATTTGGAAGATGACGGTTTGTTGTTATACATGCTGCCTATTCTCTGTGACCCTACAATGTCTCTTTATTAATGAAATTCATCAATTTGTCATCAACTCTGTTAATGCAGAACCACTTAAATTTGCATGTTTTTTTGACTTCTATCTTTTGTTCATTATATTATTTGTTGGTGGAATAAAATACTAGAGAGAGTAAAGATTAGAAGTTCATGTCGAGATTAATAAATGGCTAGACGTTTGGCAACCAGAGTTCAAATTCTAGATAAATTTTGCTGTAAATTTTGAGAAAACAAAGAAGGAACAATCTCGTTGATATGTTTCATATAAGAATAAAAATTGACAGAAGACACTCCACAATACATCTTCAAATTTTCACCCAAAGATCCAGGTTTTGCTTGAAGATTGAAAATACCCACTTACCGAACGTTTGCTGCAGATTCTACAACTGAAGGAGATGCTCATAAAATTGTTTTCAGCTGATTTTCCGCAACTGGAGGAGTCACCGAACTCAGGGGGAGGTAGTGTGTGACCGTCGATTTCACCTTCGGTTTAGATTGCAGCGTCGATTCACTGTCTGTTTGGGTTTCCCTTCGTTGATTTCACTGTCTAACTGTAGACGGCTAGGGGGATTCCCACTTCTTGTTCGGCCGGAGATGTGGAGTATATATGTTGACGGGTTTACCGGCCAGAGATGTGCCGAGTTGGTGGTGGATTTCTCTATTGTTTGAGACGTTGAAATCTCGCAATTTTGGTGGCGGGTTGCCTCTTCTTCCCTAGGTAAGAGATTTTGGTTCCCGCTTTTTTCCATCATTTTTTATTCAACATATTTTCCATTACTCGTTGACGTCCTCTGTTTGATACAGTCGGGCTCTCTGTCATGTCATTCATTTTGAATTCTTGTGAGGTTTCTGTCAAATGGGCCTGTTCCCATAGCTTAATTCAAGAAATTAAGTGGTAGAGTGAAATTTCATATATGTTAATAAAGTAGAGATGGTAATTAGCGATTTGAATTGGGGAACCTAATGATGCAGTTTTGTGAAGTAGCAAAACAGTAGGCTAAGAAGGAAGACAGTAATAGTCACGTAAAAGTCCAAAATTACCCCTATCAAAATCCGAAAATTCAGTCACCAACTAGGGTTTTGGATCTGCCCTCTCTATATAAATACTATCTTTCGATGTCCGTGAAAAACATAAATTTATTCTGCAATTAGCATTTCTCATTGTACAATCGGCTTTTCTTTTGCGCTGAAAGACGAAGATGGGGCACTCTAACATATGGAACTCTCACCCCAAGACCTACGGGCCTGGTTCCCGCACCTGGTAATCCGGTCTCTTAAGTTTTCATCGACTCTCTCTCCATTTTTTTTTTTTTTTTGAGAGAATATTTTACCGTTTCGGTATAATTGAATGTACCTAATATAATAATCAAGAATTTGAGGTAGTTTTACTTTGATCCGTGGAATAATATTGGATTTTTTGAGATTTGTCTGCGTTTATTGTTAATTAGCCCACAGTCTCGTGTTTTTTTTGATTAATTGTCCTTCAGTTCTTATTTTGAAGCTAGAATATACCACAAGGAGGGCAATAAGTAATATAAAGATATCAATTATAGCTGGAAATTTGCCGTAGGCTATGTAACGAATGGAAGTTGGCGTGCTGACTGGTAGTATTATGTATCTTAGATGTATTAATTGAATGGTGGTCGAGTTCGTTTGGTAATTCTCAATAAATTTCTCATGTGATCCTAGGTTTTGCTAGAAAGAATACTATTTTACGTCTATTTTTGTACCTGTTATGCTGACATTGAAGACTTGTTTAAAATGCAAATCTTGAAAAACATTTCACAAATTATGCACACTTTATTTGAACTCAAGAATATTCGGCTGATATCATGGGAGTATGCTTAGTAGTTATTAGTAGGCTATTTTGACTAATATCAGTTCTTACGATGTTTGAAGTAGTTTCAAGATAAAGACAAACTTCTGCGAAATTCCTTTACAACAAGTAATAGCTTGATGTTAAATATTTGTTGTTAGAATACATTTGTGGGACCACAACTTTTCAACTGTACATTTCATCAACTTTTATGAAAAATATACTAAATAAATATCTATTGATGATGTTTTCTGTGTTTATTGTTAATTAGCATGCAGTCTTGTGTTTTCCTCGATTAATTGTTCTTCGGTTCTTATTTTGAAGTTAGAATCTACCACAAGGAGCGCAATCAGTAATTTAAGGATATCAATTATAACTGGTAATTTGCCGTAGGCTATGTAACATATGGAATTTTGCATGCTGACTGGTGGTATTACGTATCTTAGATGTATTAATTGAATGGTGGTCAAGTTCGTTAGGTAATTCTTAATAAATTTCTCATGTGGGCTACGAAGAATACTATTTTATGTCTATTTTTGGAACGCATGTTATGCTGACATTGAAGACTTGTTTAAGATGCAAATCTTAACAAACATTTCACAATTATTTCTAACGATGTTTGAATTAGTTTCAATATAAAGACAAACTCCTTCCAAATTTCCTTTACAACAGGTAATAGCTCGATGTTAAATATTTGGTGTTAGAATACATTGTTGTAACACTTTAAACAAGTGTTGTTGCACCTACTTTGGTATGTTATTTGGATTTGATGTCCCGGTGTATATGCATTCAGATTAATATTGACTTGATGCATATGATGTTATGACAGTCGTGTATGTGGGAACCCCCATGGAATAATTAGGAAGTATGGGCTCATGTGCTGCAGACAGTGCTTCCGGAGCAATGCCAAGGAAATTGGCTTTATCAAGGTAATTACCTGAGTTGTCTAACAATATTATTGTGTTTTCAATTTTCAGCGAGACTAAATATGTATTGTGTACATGAGTTTTCTCAGTTGATCTTCATCTATAAAGCTTACATAAGCTGATGAATACACTTATTTATTTACTTGGGCTATCTTGTTTAAAATGGTTTTTGCTTAGCAAATATTTGTTATTATTTGCATTTTTTATCATTTTTCATTGTGGTGACAATTTCCCATGCATTTGTGTTTTTGCAGTATCGTTAAGCTGTGAATGTCTGAATTTTGTCCAGTGGAAGGAGGGCTTTCCTTGGTGGGATGGGATATCATCAGGCATCCCTTTTTATTTATCTTCGTTTTATTTAAAAAGTGCTGTAATGGGAGATTATTCTAGTTTGAGATAGAACTCAATCTGATTCTTGAACTGGCTTAATAGTATTTGCTTATTTTTGTTTATTTTTGACTTTATGAATCAAGAAATTTTTTATGCAGCAGTTTTGTTCATTGCACTATTTGTTTTTATGGTGATTGCTTTGAGTTTTTTCTACATTTAAACAACCATATCTTTTTTGAAAATATGAACTTTTCTCCTCTAAATTAACTACAGTATACAGATAAAATTGGGCTTGCCTCATCGTTCCTTTAGGATACATTTTCTAGTTTTTATGCATATGTAGTGTTTTTATCTTCTTAGATAAACAGATTTTAATATGCTTTTAGATCTCCCTGGAAGATTTAAGAATAGATATTTTCAATAATTCTCTACTTTTCGTTTATCCCAAACTGCAACTTATGATTTATTTTCCTAAAATGCATCCTTTTCTTTTAGAATAATGATACTTGGCCAAGTTCAATGACAATGATGGAGGTGACAGGTGGCGTGTGGCAGACAGTGATTGGGTGTTGTGTGTGCGTGTGTGTGTGTGTGTGTTTTTTTTTTTTAAACTATTCAATTATGTATTGACACGTGTTTCTTCTGTCACTCAACTTGTCATTGAGCCTGTAGCAAGATTATTTCTTTATCACATGCTTGGTAAAACAGAATGAGACAAGAAATGTCCTCTACTGAGTTTGACGTACAAAGCATATAGAGATCAGTGGATCATAAAATTAAAACGTTCGGCCTGTTTCAGTAAACTCGATTTTATCAGCTGTAACTCTGGAAAAAAAAAAAACATAAATAAATAAAAAATTATATTTATGCCACTTGAAATTTACAAAATAGAAGTCTGTGTGACGAAAACAGAACGAATCTAAAATCAAGTCTGTGGCTGCGTATGAAACACCCCTTCTTAGAATTGTTACCTGAAAAGAATACTCGTGGTGGAAACGCTTTAAAAAAAACCATCAGCTAGTGAAAAACAATGAAAGAATCATAAGCTATTTCTATATAAACTAGAACTAGGCCATAACGAGCTGAGTTTAGCTGCCAGCTTTGCACTCTCAAGTCTTCTCTGAGCTGAATAAACCTGAATTTGTAGCCAATTCAAATATCAATCTCATAAACAAATAAATAGTGAAAAATCAGAAACTATAAGAAGCGTGACATCCGAATCAATGTTCTTGTTAACAAGTTATTACAAATTTGCTGCATAAACCGCACAAGCCCTTAAGAGCAGGGTATGTAACTAAAGCATATTGCCAAAAATCTAAGATGATGAATGGAAATAAGTGTCGAATTAATGTTCACTAAGAACTAACATATTTCTAAGGAAAAGAGTGGCATAAAGTTATGTATAGTGCGTAAAAGATTGTGAATATGATCATGACCTTTGTGCATCTTTTCGAATGCTCGGGGTTCCCTCAAAGAGAGATGACAGACTTTCAGAAGCAACAATAAGAACATTGGCCAGGCTGGAGAGCAAGGTCGTGTAAGTAAATGAAGAGAAAATTCGTTATAAATATATTTTTGTGTCCTCATTTCTTGGTTAAGTGGGTGTAACATGTTTCAGATACAATTAACTTGCATGCCCAGCAATTCGAATTTCTCATCATTGAAGGAGCATTAAAACCGCGGACAAATTCCCCATACTCTATTATGTCACGCTTGAGCTTTAGTCCTCCACTGTCGAAGTATAATTCAAAGAAAACATTAGGCAATCAAATTAAAACAGCAGCAGAATCAGAAACGGGAAAGGCAATTAGAGGAGATAGAAAAGAGAAACTTAGAATCTTTCAAATTTGAAGACCCTAAGAGACTAATCTTTTCTAATATACTTGCACGAGGAAGGGGTAAGAGAAGGATAAAAAAGGCAAATTTGAAGACCCTACATGATATGAGTAATGCTCATACATCATGCCAACACACGCATAAAATCAGGAATAAACTACATGTTCTGAAAATACGAAGTATCAAGTGAAACATAGATCGAGAAGTTGCCTTGGATTAAAAGTGAACTTCTGCCAATGAGTAAGCAGACCCTTGTGCAAGCGATTCCCATCAATAAACCCACTGTGTTAACACTTGAAATTTATGTGAACCTGGACCAGATAAAACGTGAAAAACAAAAACCATGAATCAAACAAGAACCGCATACTGCAGAAAAGAAAATTTCTACACAAGGAAAGCTTGTTTGTTAAGACCTCCTAGGCCTGTGAAAGCAGCTTCAGGAACCCGGGAAAGGTAAGCCAGAAGAGGTGCGAACTTTGGAAGTATGATATGTACAAAAATTTGTCTGATATGGCAAGAGTTAAAAAGGAAAAGGAAAGGAAAACAGAACATATTCAAGCACAGAGTTAGAAATGCTTGCTTAGTAAAATCATGAAAATGTGCCACAGATATAGAAATGCTTTAATTTGATTCTTTATGTTTGATAATCTCGACACCTACACTTTTTTTAAGGGGGGAAAAATGGGTAGACTTGACATGGATGGGATCTTCACAAACCTCGTGCAGGCATTTGTTGGTTGATGGTCAGGAGCAAAGCCATCATCAGGTGATCGATAATCTGTTGGTTTTTGTTCAGCTGATAGAAGTCGCTCCACCTTACGAGAACAAGGATTAAGTAACTTCAACATCCAAGTAAATGAAAAGGTTATACAAGTGAGAGACGTACAAATTACAAGAAAATTGGTGCAATCAACCACTAACAGTACATAGGCATGGTGGATAAACATAGGAAAAATGTTCAATTACAAACCCAGCATAACTGTTTCAATTACAAACCTATCCTTATTACGGCACTCCAATCAAAAATTATGAAATATATTCATTCAATCACAAACTTCGGCCATCACTGTTTCAATGCATTGTTGAAGTCCCTTGTAAGCAGCACCTTCTGCATTGGACATTGCTGTCGCCATTTCTTCACAGGAAGCAGCATGTGAACCATCCACAGGTAGTAAAAGCCGAGAGATTGAGTTCGCAAAGTACTGCAAGATAAGAGTTTATTCCTGGTGAAATCCATCACAAGTTCTCATAACACCACCAGGTGATGCAACTCAAAGCAAACTGGCATACTTGCTGAACAATAGCCACGCTACTTCCACACCATTGTACAGCAACCATGAAAGATTTGAAACTGCTTTCTCCAGCAGCTGCAGCAGCTTCTGCCTACATATTACCAATCTAGTCTGATGCAGGACACTTTTAAGAAAGAAATGTTATAAATTAAGAAACTTGCACTATTTTTTGTCCGATATACTACAACCTAATTAAATACACTAGGAATTGAAAGTGATAGATGATTCCTGCAGAAGTAGCTGCAGCAGCAACTTGTCGACTGACACTAGTTCCTAGCACCAGCCGTTCCCTTAAAGCTGCAGCCTCAGTCAAGCTGTCTCGAGCTCTTTCAAGCCCTTCTGTTAGATAGAGGCTGACCTGAAGAAGCAGAAGGATGGAGCAGGCAACATGTGAAATATTATTAAAAATATCTATTTGAAGAAAAGCACTGAAAATGGCAAAATTACTGACAAATTTACCGGTCTAAAAGGCATGTGAAAACAGCCCTTACATTAGCTGCAAGGGTAGCAGGCTGGACAACAACAACATAATAACGAGAACATGTAAATATTAACCATAAAATCAATGTGGAATTACAAAAAAAGTTAATGCATTGTTCCGACAAAACCTCACTTTAAAATACGATGGTGATATTATGTTGTATGTAGCGCTGCATTTTTTCTTTAAATAAAAGTAAAGCTACAAATAGTACAACTTGTTAACTATTTTCTCTTTTGGACGAGGTTTTTAATGTATGATACTTTATCACACTATTTGGCATACATGATAGCACTGTGCATCATATAATTTATAAAAGAAGCATGAGCATGTCTGCTGTAATTAAGGGGGGGTTGTTGTATGTGACAGCAATTATAAGCCTAGCATTATTTGTCAGGTCATCAATTTGAAAGTTAAAGGTAACTCATGGAGAAATGATAATACATTTGTGCGAAGCTAAAGGTGCCACCATTAAAAAACAGAGAAACGTGTTTTGATGAAGCTAACAGAATGAGACCATATAAGTGCACTAAAATAGCAAGATAAGTATCCCAAAGCCCAAAAATAAGGTCTCAAGTATAGCTAAAAGCACTCATCATGGATGATATGGATCACCAAAATGGGCATTTACCTATGTCTTTATACTCACAAAGATGAAGAAGTCAGATCCTGTGGAAAATCTTGGACCCCGGAAAAAACAAAAACGAAAAATATGTGGCAGCCGCTATGAGCAGGGTAGTTTTTCTCCATAAAGCAGCTAAATATGCAGACCTATTCATATTGCTTGACAACTCATCTTCAAGAGACAAATGAACCTGCCAATAATTGTAGAGAAACAGACCCTCCTGCTCCAGTATCAGTTATTGCATCACTAAAGCCATGTTAATCATGCACGACCATTCAAATGTTTGAACTTGTTTATCATATTCTCGTTGTAGTGTAATTGACTTAGATGATAACCCCCACTAGTTTTTGTAATTTTGATAGCCAAGATAGTATCCACTTGTCCAAGATCCTTCATATTGAATGTGGAAGATAGAAACTTCTTCGTTTCTTCTATTCCATCCATGTGATTACTCATAATCAACATGTCATTGACATACAAGCAAATAAATGTCACGTAATTATCACAAACTTTAGAATATAAATATTTATCTGCGCTATTATGTTTAAAATCAAATGATATAATTACTAAGTCAAATTTCTCGTACCATTAGATGCCTGCTTCAAACCGTATAGCGATTTTACTTACTTGCATGCCTTATGTTCATTTTCAGGTAAAGCAAATCATTTGGGTTGTTCCATGTAGACCTCCTCATCGAGATCTTGACATCCATTTGATGAACATGCAAGTCATGTATCGAAGTTAATGCAAATAATATTTTAATCGATGTTATTCTAGCTACCGGAGCATAAGTGTCGAAATAATCAATTCCTTCCTTTTGTCGATAACATTTGGCTACTAATTTGGCTTTAAAGTTATTGAGAGAGCCGTCAACATTGTACTTTCTCTTAAACACCAATTTACATCCAATAGGTTTGGATCCAGGAGGCAAATAATCAACAAGT